TCTGCCACAGTGTAGTCCAGTACAAGCTTATCCACTTGTTGGGAGACGAAGGCAGCAGGTCCTTGACAAAATGCTGTGAGCTTCAATTGGCTGGGTAAACTTTGCGGTTGTTGCATCGTAGTCGTTAATGATTTATTGTGCTCATTAAGTCGCATTTATACAACAGTTAGTTTCGGCCACGCGAGCTGATTGGTTGAGCAGCGTTCTAACTGTGCTGTTATTTCAACATAACATCACAGGTTTTTCACAAACACTGTATCGGTCCACTGAGACGCCGTTGCTAAGCAACGACTTTGACAGCTGTAGGAGACGCTCAAGACATTTGAACGTTTTTACTTCTTACTTTGCCACAAACAGAAAACGGACACTTTTAAGATCACATTTGACCGACAGACGATTTGGTCAGACTCTGAAGATGAGACGACACTAAATTCCCAAACTGTCAGCTGGTCTGTGTGGAGCTGGAGAACAGCGAGTGGGCGGAGCTCGTTACTCTGACGTAGCAACAAGCTGCTCGTTAAGGAACTATAATTTGGTGAAGGAACTGAACATTAAAACATATTAAACGCCGCGTTCACGGCCCAGTTTATTAATTTATTACTGTATTTATTTAACTGTTGTATTAAAGCAGTAGAACACTCGAGGAGTGTGTTATCACCAATAACATCACGGCTGTGATGATCTACAGCGACCAAATCACAGCCGTGATGTTATTCCGCGATACACACTCCCTCTGGGTTCTACTGCTTAAGTATTCTACAAGACTGCTTCAACATTTCAACTCAGATGTGGCTGAACTCCGGACTTTCAGACCAGGTGTTTCAGATGCTCAAACAAACCGACTTCTGCAGTTACGTCTCTACAGCTAGCACCAGACATGCTTGGCTGTGTTTATGGAAGCGTCATGCCGCGTACCGTAAAACATGAACGGCGTTTACATTCATTATTTGTAAACTGATTAGTCCAGTTCAGCGTTCATAAAAAATATGTGAATGGACGCGTTCATACACAACACTGAGTGCGTATACATGCCCTCAATAATCTGATCATAATCGGATTTCCGCAGTTATCTAAATATTCAAATGGTCATGTAAACACCATACTCCGATCAAGAAATCTGATTAAGAAATCCGATAAAGAGGCTGGATTTTAGCTCAGTAATCAGATTTCTCAGTGCATGTAAACTCTCACTCCGATTTCTCAGTCTGCTCATGCGCGAGATCAGATGGTGGATGTCGCAAGACACAGCACAACACTTTTGAACAGCACTGAAATCAAACACAAAATTAAGGATTTAAATATTCTTCATCTTCTAGATGTTTGTCCGTATTTTCAGGTAAAGTGGCGCGATGTTTAAATAAGCTGCGATATGAAGTTTGAGTTTTACGTTATGTTTACGTCACGCTGCCTTCTGTGAGTTTATCGGCTGGTGGTAAAGCAGAAAGCCGATTACTGTCTGACTCATGTAGACCCGGAGTTTCCCATTATCTGATTACTCAAGTGCATGTAAACATGTTGATCGGATTACTGACAAAATCTGATTTTCTGCAGTTATTGGATTATTGAGTGCATGTGCACACACTCATTGTTCAGTGCAAACTGCCTGAGGTCACAGAAGCGTAACTTTGGGCCCGTCGGCGAGTTCTGGCCAGGTGAGGGGTTAAGGCGGAATGTAAAATTCGAATAAGTGAGGCCTTATTGACGCTATTGATGCTCCACTTGTTTCTAGTTTAAGGAGGTGAGCTCTAACACTTCACTCGTCTTTGGAAATAAAATAAGCCGAGCATAAGCACAGTGACAGGACGCTGCTGTATCAAATCTACGGCAGGAAACGAATCCATTCGCTCTAAAAGTAGCCGGCTGTGTCCCATTTGCAGTCGCACTCTTCTCCATGTTTCTTCCACTTTGGGTCTTGAGTCTTCAGCTTCGTACATTCACCATCATTTTGCTGTCTTTTCTGTGAGCTTAATTCAGCCTGGTTGGTTTAGTTTGAGGTTAGGGGTTGTTTTTAGTTTGCTGAGCTAGTTGTTATTGTATTCGTATGCTCCCATCATCAAAATAAGCTTCAAATATATTTTTTCAGTACTTAGAAAATTTTTCATGTACTACTATTGCACTACTCTTTGTATATACATCTAATGATTGCCTGTCTACCAAAGATAGATAGATTTTGTATTTTATTTGGAGGGTAAAAAAAAAGGACTTAAAACACAACCATTCAGTACGAACATGCTGTGATTAAAAGACTGTATTATGGTTGCCATCATTTTTGTGTTCAATGCTTTGGTCTTAAATTAGCTGAAGAGTGTCGACTGACTTGTTTAGGACTCGAAGGCTCCGTTCACACAGCAGGTAAAAGTGGTCCAAATCTGATTTTCTCACCAAATCAGATTTTTTTTTTGTTTGGCTGTTCAGATTATCTTTTAAATGTGATCTGTATGCGACATCAGTCTGAACAGATCAGCTCCTAAACTGACCCTCATGTGCTAAAGATCAGAGCGTCAGGCTGCTTCACGGCTCATCCAGAGGTAAACAATCACGACCGCCAACGAACGCCAGTCGCTCCCGGAGGATCAGCTTCATCTTCACCAGCATCACAGGAGCCATCATGAAGCTTCACTGACTGACAGCTGGGATCATCACCCAGAATGTGTTCGAGCCGTAAAATCTCTTCAAATTTTTGGTACAGAAACATCAGCCTAAATGTTTATGAGTCTCAGCAGTGTGAAATTATGACTAATGTGGAGTTGGATTGAGGTAAAAGTCACATGAATTCCGATCTGGCTGTTCAGACTGAGTCGCTTTGCCGCAGATCGGATACGTATCTGATTTCAGTACCACATATGAAAGTATCCCAAATCTGAAATGAAAATATCAGATTCAGTGTGTTTATCTGTTCACACTGACACACAGACACACATCTGTGTCACAGATCGGATTTGGGCCACTTTTACCTGCTGTGTGAACAAAGCCGAAGATTAGGACTTGAGACTCAATTTAAGACTCGCCTGTACTGATTCGGGACTCGAGTGTCAAGACTTGAGACTCAGGTTTAACTCGCAACTTAGCAGTAATGCATGTCTATGAATTTGGGGGGCGGAGCTTCCGAAGGAGCACTGAAGGGAGGGGTTGAGTTCAAATATGAACAATCGTTCTTCAGAATTGTATACTGCCCCCTTAAAAACGTTGGTTTAAAATATCTGGACGCTGCACAGCGTGGCACGTCCAGCGTGTGAGGCTCCAGAGCGTCCCGTTCTATTGGTCACTGTTGTTCTATGCAGATTAAACAAGTTGTGTCAGCATTCGAATGCTTGTGTCGGATGGTCATCACAGGTGTAGACGGTCTGGATTCGTAGGGGGGCTGTAGGTTGTGATGCGCAGTGTGTCGTATCGGCACCTCCAGTACCTTTAAATGAAAAGAGCCAGAAAAATCCCATTTTCCACATACGGGACCTTTAATACAGCTTTATACAGAGAGAGTGCAGATAGAGAACGAGCGCAGAGGGAAAACGCTGATTTCACAACCTGTCATTCACTGAGGAAACCGCTTTTCCTTCATCTCCGTCCTCTCTCGCTCTTCTCTTTTAACTCTATCTCTCTCTCTCCCCCCACCTCTCTCTCTTTCTCTCTCCCCCCACCTCCCCACCTCTCTCTCTCTCTCTCTCTCCGCTGTGGATAATGTGCTGTGCGCTCTGATGTTTATCTGTAATGAATAGTAAATTAGTGATTGTTAATCCACTGGTGATGCCATTACAGCCCCTGGGCATTCTGGGAAATCTCCCCAACCCCTCCAGCTTTCCATATCTGCATCCTTTTCCATCCATCCTTACATCCTGTTTAATTCTACCCATCCTCCATTAGAGATCACCATCTCTCCACTGATTACATTTCACACAGCCTGAGTCTGTCTGTCTATCTGTCTGTCTGTCTGTCTGTCTGTCTCACTCGCTCTATTTTTCTTTTTTTCTTCTGCCTCTCTATCTTCATCTGTTTCTCCTTTCCTTTTCTCTCTCTCTCACTTTCTCTCATCTTCTTTCTCTTTTCTCTTCCCTCTCTCAATCTCTCTATCTCACTCTCTCCTCCTCTGTCTTTCACACTCTCTCTACTTCTCTCTCGCTCGCTCTTCCTGTCTTTCTCTCTCCCTACTTCTCTTCCTCTCTCTTTTCCTCTTTCTTTTTTGTTGTCCTTTTTCTCCCTCCTTTTCTAGTCTTTCTCTCATGTTCTCTCTTTTCTCTCTCTCAATCTCTTTATCTCACTCTCTCTTCCTCTGTCTTTCACACTCTCTTTACTTCTCTCTTGCTCGCTCTTCCTCTCTTTCTCTCTCTCTATTTCTCTTTCTCTCTCTCTTTTCCCCTCACTCTCCTCCTCTCTCTCTCGTCAAATGTACCCCCCCCCACTGTAATTTGTCATGCTCTAAAATCAGCTCTAATCTCCTGCGCTCCTGTCTGCGTTCCAGTTCTTCTCATTTTTGGATGTTTGGTGATGAACATAAAAGACAAAATGTGCCGATAGTTTTATCTGCTGTTTCAAAAATGAACAGAAGTTTAACTCACAAGAAAGATTATATAGGAACTGTGATATAAACTGAGTCTTGCACTTTTTGGGTAATGACAAGTCCTAATACATGCCAAATTACCGACCATCTAATAGTTTCTTTATGATGATTAATAATTATATAACTTACAGAAAGCATTACAAACGTTACAAAAGCATTAGTAAATACTTTTGATAATTTTGGTGCTTTAAAGATCAATTAAACTTTAGCGCAATTAAGATTAAGTATCAAGACATTGCTAGTATTATTATCATAAACACACATTAAATTATAAACTGACTGAATTTAATGTGGAATGTAAATAAAGTAAGTGCTTTTTAGCTCATTTGTTGGTGCCTTATGTCATAAAAAGATCTCATATTTTGATAGAGCTTGTTTACATCACAGTAGAAACTCTCTTTATCTCACTCTCTTTATCTTTCTCTCTCGTTCTCTTCATCCTCAGCGTTCTCCAGCCGGATATGGGGAAAAAGTCCAAGTATAAAACGTCAGTGAAGAAAAAAACGCTAAACCCAGAGTTTAACGAGGTGAGAAAGTCATTTTGCTTGCATTGTAATTAAATAAAATTGCATAAATACATAATTACAGTGGCTGAAAAGATTCAACCAATGAAAATCGAGCTATAAATGCAGAAGATGCTTTCATTAAAATGGTAATACAGACACTGCTTTTTACAAACACTCTATATTATTATATTTAATATTTAATATTATGTATAATATCAAAACATGCAAATTTATAGACACAAAAAAAACAAGCAAAACAAGACTGCAAACACAATAACTTCATCAAATTCAAAGCGTAATGAAACATCTCCTCTTCTAATTACAAACACACATTAGAGGTTCCACATGTTTCAATGAGCTACGGGTGTAAATGAATGGTGCAAACACCACACTGGACCCAGCAGGGTTAGCCTGGACTTTGAGAAGGTCATTCAGCCGCTCTGACCTCCACAGACCAGTGTTTGTGCCTGTTTAGCTGATTTTGCTGTTCTCCTCCTGCAGGAGTTCATATATGAGGTTCCTCATGACCAGCTGGCGAAGAAAACCCTGGAGATCTCCGTGTGGGATTATGACCTGGGCATGAGTAACGACTTCATAGGTGAGCGATTTAAAGGGCTATTTTGCTGATTTTTCACAATTCCTGCGTAACTCAGCATTTGAGATGTAATCAGAGTGATTCAGAGTGGTTTGGGGTGAAATGGTTCAGATGTCTTTACAGTGGTGGTGATAGGAACCAGGGGTCGCCATGACTACAACACAAATATAGACATTTTATTTACTATCCAGAACCACCAGTGAACCTACATGAGTCTTCTGAGTTTATATGGAATGTTGATGATGGAAAATAGTGGAAAATCTGAAATAATATATATTTTAGGGACTATTTTGACTCACAATGCTCTTTAAACCTCCTCAAAACTATCATAAAACAGTGTCTCAGACATCAGGCAGTGAATTCATAATCATTTCATGTAATGACTTTCTGTGAAACACTTCATGTGTCTTAAGTATCAGGATTATATCTGGATGAGGCCCCTTAAAAATGCAAGTGTAAACGCAGCTGAGCATTTAAAACAGATCCAGATCTGATCACTCAAACAGCTTCAGAAGGTGGACTGAGATGCATTTGTGAACACATCTGTCTCTCCAAGACACATTCAACAACTAAACTCCTCCCAACACAACTGAAACCCCTCCCAGTACAATCAAAACCCCTACCAGCACAACTGAAACCCCTCCGAATACAATCAAAACCCCTACCAGCACAACTGAAACCCCTCCCAGTACAATCAAAACCCCTACCAGTACAACTGAAACCCCTCCCAGTACAATCAAAACCCCTACCAGCACAACTGAAACCCCTCCTAGTACAACCGAAATTCCTCCCAATACTACAGAAACCCCTCCCTGTACAATCAAAACCCCTCCTAGTACAACTGAAACCCCTCCCAGTACAACCAAAACTCCTCCAAGTTTGACCAAAACCCCTCTCAGTACAACCGAAACACCTCCCAGTACAACCGAAAATCCTCCCAGTACAACCAAAGCCTCTCCCAGTACAACCAGCACAACTGAAACCCCTCCCTGTACAACCGAAACTCCTCCCCATGCAGTGTTTTATTGGGCTCATGATCTGTGAAATACAGGTACATAACTGTCACTGGGTCA